CTCAACGGCAAAAGCTAACTGCTCCCAAATTCTCTCACCATGTCGCCGGCTCCCGTCGTTGAGGCCGCCGAGCCTGAGACCGAGCAGGTTGCTCCCGCCGAGGAGTCCGAGAAGAAGCCCCAGGTCTTTCATCTCTTATCTCGATTCTTCTTTCTCGTTTCGATTTCTTTGGTTTGATTGTCTTTTCTGATCCCTTTTGTCAATCTGCAGAACGAGGAGGCCGTCGTTGAGGACGTGAAGGAGGATGAGAAAGAGGATGACGAGGACGAAGACGACGATGACGATGAGGACGACAAGGACGATGGCGCCCAAGGTCCATAATTTCTCTTCACCTCTCGTTACCTCTTGATTTATATCTTCATTTCATTTCCTTGTATTCCATAGCTAATTTATGAATATGTTTTTTGTAGCCTCAGTAATTAATTTTTTGTTGCCTCAGTAATTAATTTTTTGTTGCTTTTCTGGGTTAGGATCCAAATTATTGTTTACGGCAGTGATTTGGTTGATATCTTATAAAATTCAATGGGAATTTCGGCCTAGGAATTTTGAGACTTTTTGTCTGTGATTTAAGAACACCTTTGTATTGCATGAAACTTGTAATTTGTTTACTACTAGAGTGATAGTATTAAGTGAACTTGGTCTGAGGTTTAGCAGATTGTTTTTCAAAAAGTTAATAAAAATTCCTTTTTAGGACAATCTTTTTGATAACTTACTGTTCTATGGCATATGCTAGGACCTGCCGACCTGCCTCAGTACGACTCCTCTCTGGAATTATTAGTACTACACTGGTTCATATTAAATTGTAGCTTTTGAGTTTTGATATGGGAATGAAATTTGATTGCTCAAATTTTATGTAGTAGTGTGTTTTTCTTTTGTTTGTTTGTGTCTGGTTCATCAATCACTCTAAATGCTTACATTAACTCATCTACTGGTTGTTTCTTATTGGCCATTATGTTGTTTTGCATACTTTTCTGCCACTTCTTTTGTTCTCCTTATTCAGTTGTGTTGATATGTTCTGACTGATCTTTCTATCTATTCTGGTCCAAAAATGACTTTGCAGGTGCAAATGGGAACTCTAAACAGAGCAGAAGTGAGAAGAAAAGTAGGAAGGCAATGTTGAAGTTGGGTATGAAACCTGTTACTGGTGTTAGCAGAGTCACCATCAAGAGAACCAAGAATGTAAAAATTTTCTGATTCTCTTTTAATGTTGCTAATTGTCCTGTTTGATGGATGACTATTAACCTTAAATTCCTCTTGGTTTCAGATACTATTTTTCATTTCAAAACCTGATGTCTTCAAGAGCCCAAATTCTGAGACTTACGTTATATTTGGTGAGGCCAAGATAGAGGATTTGAGCTCTCAGCTGCAGACACAGGCTGCTCAACAGTTCAGAATGCCAGATATGGGATCTTTGATGGCAAAATCAGACACTTCTGCTGCAGCTGCAGCAGCACAGGCTGATGAGGAAGAGGAAGAAGTTGATGAGACTGGAGTGGAGCCGAGGGACATTGACTTGGTCATGACACAGGCTGGTGTGTCAAGGAGCAAAGCTGTTAAGGCTCTCAAGACTCGCAACGGTGACATTGTTAGTGCTATTATGGAGCTTACTACTTAATTTCAGCTCTATCGTCTTACCTTGCAAGTCTTGCTTTCTGTTAGATGAGTTTTGGAACTGAAATCAACATTTTAGTTGTAGCTGAACTTGATTTATCATCCTTTGGACGGATGAATTCCGGTTTCATAATCAAATTTTCAACAATTATGTCAGTATTATTATTGAGTTTTCATCATCTCCATGCCCGTTATTGCCTTGTCTACCTTTATTGGAGAACTGTAGATTCTAGTGTAACTAAACATCTCAATACAGAACTTATTTGATCTCTAGATATTCACCACCCGACAGTTGGCCCAAAAAACTCCGGCGGCTCCTGCCAAGGCACCAATCTGCATACCATTGCAGCAGCAAATTTAGCCCTCCAGGCAATTGGATTCTTGGCACTTTGATTTACTAGGTTGGCTGTTCTTGTGTCTGTAAGCAAGGGCTGTTCTTGTGTCTGTAAGCAAGAGCTGTCCTTCTTGTGTCTGTAAGCAAGAGCTGTCCTACCTGAAACTTGGTTAGCCATAATATCAATGCAGTGCCAACATCCATGATACTTGGGACTGAAAGGTTCAATGGTTCGGCCAAGTTAGGATTTATACTACCTGCCGGACACTGCTGCTTCTACTAAGCTTGCATATGTTGCATCCAAACTCGCGTCTTGCGTTGATCTCTCACCTCCCATTTGTGTGGGTTCCTGTTCAATGTTCGTTTTACATTGATTTAACGATACAATAAATAAGAATTATTCATATCCTATTCAAAAGATCAGGGATACTAACCTAGTTACCAGAGAGTAACCATTATTTCCTCTGTGAGCCCCTTGTTAGCAAACGACCGAGTGAGTTGGTTTACATTAAAAGTTGGAGGAGACATGGTTGATAAGGTATTTGAAACTAAGGAAACTGTGAAATCTTTGTTAGCGTTTAGATTTGATTTTAATGATGATTAAAACCATGTTAATTTGATATTTTTTATTTTTGACAATACTAATTTGATATTTAATGAGGTTTTTTTTTAAGTATGCAGGAAACTTCAAACATTGCAACTCTAGGTGAAGGATTTGAATCATACTATGATGGATTAAAACCAAAAATGACAGAAAGTTCCGCAGGTTTCAGAAAAACTGTTGTTTTTTGAATCACGATTCAAATCAATATTTTCTAAATTGAATTACGTGTTTGGTGATCGATGAATGATGCAGTAAAACAATTAAGAACTTGTTTAGTTTGAAGGATGGAGACTAAAAGTAAAATTATTTCAAACATATTAAATTAAGACATAGTACATCATAAATATGAAAGTCAACTTTGCTTTTCATTTTATCTTCAACTTTGAAGGCAACTTCATCAATGCTTAATGGAGATAGATGGGACTTATTTGGATTAGATGATGTTGGTAGCAACATTGAAGATATCAAATTGAGTTTCTAAAATAGAGATTTTCAAGACCATAAATATTCAACTTATAGTCACCTTATTTATTTATTTGACTAGATGCTTTTAGATGAATTTTATGTATTTTAAAATTAATTTTTTTAGTAAATTTTAAAGGTAAAATCTTACATTGATTTTTTACATTAAAAAATTAATTTTCTTTAATATTAGTTTCAAGAATTAAATTTTAAATTTAATTTACAAATCAATACTTATTTACCAATCATACTCTTGGGATTAACTTTCTTAAATATAAATCAGGTCACCATTTTTAAATATGGGATTAAGAAAAATTAAGATGTTATAACATTTAAAATGTCAAGAATAATAATCAAAAAACTAAAACATCCCTAATGAATCAATATGCAAAATAAATGTATTAAGATTATTTGAACGCATAAAAAAGATTCATTAAGAAAGTAGAGCGACTAACTTCTACAGTTCTACAAGCGTTTTATTAGTCTTTGCTAGTAATTTAAAGATATCTTGTTACACCTAGATCTACAATGTGCTTTAACGAGCTTTAACGAGCTGTTGTAACTCGTAAGTCCACTCACTTGCAAAGGACATATGTGAAGGAGATGGTTATCTTTTGTTTTACAATTTAATTATTTGATGCAAAATAAATAAATAAATTTATATAAATAGCAAGGGAACAAAATAAACTACCTCATAACAACTACATATTAAAAGTTCTTTCAAATTGACATTAAATTATCAAAAAAGCATTTTTTAGAGTAGACTATATATTAAAAATACAAGGTTAAATTCCTATTTTGGTCCTGAACTATTGTACGGATCATCGATTTGGTCCTTGAACTAAAGAAATTCTTAATTTGGTCCTTGAACTATTGTACGGACCCCTGAGTTGGTCCCTAAACTATTGTACGGACTCCCGAGTTAGTCTCTAAACCATTGTACGGATGCCCAATTTAGTCCTTATTGTTTACCAATTTAATCCCAATTTGGTCTTTCTGTTAAATAATAGCTCAGGGACCAAATTGGGGTGAAATTGTAAACAGTAAGGACCAAATTGGGGGTCCGTACAATAGTTTAAGGACCAAATCAGGGATTTCTTTAGTTCAGGGACTAAATCGGGGGTTCGTACAATAGTTCAGGGACTAAAATGGGGATTTAACCAAAATACAATTTATCTTATAAATTTATTTCAATACTCTTAATAAAACTATTTATTATATTATTTTATTATGAATATTTAATTAAATTTATAAGATAAATTGTACTTTTAATATACAATACATGTTGAAAAACTTGAATCCCTTTAATTATATACCATATTAGCACCAAAGCTTGTAAAGCAGCTAGTTAGTACACCCAATGTGTTAGCTAATAGCAAGATTCAAATTATGGTAAAACCATGCAAATATCTCCCATCTCCCCGCCCCAAATTGTAACCGTTTAAGAAAAAACTTATATACCTTTTTACACCTAAAATAAATTAAATGGGAAAAGGACACGTATTTGTTTTACTTGGACTTAGTGATGGGTTGGGTTGTGTCCACAAGGGATTTAGGCTCAAGTCAAATGGATTATGATAAAGTGGTTACTGTCCAAGTTGGGAAGGTCTTTTAAGGTAGTTAAAATTTAACGGTTAAATACTAATTTTGGTCCATTAACTTTATAGTGTTGTGCAATGTTAATCCCTCAATTATTTTTTACACTTTTTTGATCTCTCAACTTTAAAAACTGCATAATTTCGATCTTTTCGTTAGTTGAGGCAGTCAATCTGTGTGGCATTTTTAAAATTTTTTTCTAATGACATGGATGATACAACTTAAAAAGGATGTTGAAATGGACAAAACTTTATGCCATGTCATATTCTTACTAATCAAACACTGCAAAATGCCCCTCAAATGGGTCTCACATTACACTGCAAAGATCAAATAAAGGGATAAAGTATCTGTAAACCCTAGAATGCTTTCTCATCTTCACTCCATCTGCAACACTGATCTTAACCCATATCTTCTTCTTCTCTTTTCTCAATGGAACCTTAAGAGATCCAAATGGAGGGAATTCAAGATGAGAATTGCTCAAGTTGGGTTGCCTTTACTGCTATTGGGGATGAATCTTTACAACATGTCTATGATTGTGGTTTGAAATAAAAAAGAAATTAAAAATAATAAAGTTATGTTATTATCCCATCTCCCTCTCAATCCATCTTCTTCCTCACTTTGCTCAACAGAGATTGAACCTAGTAGAATTTGGGTTCTATGTCATTGAACCCAACTACTAAATCATTGAACCCAACCATTGGGTTTCATTGAACCACTTGCTGGGTTTCATTGAACCCAAACCCAGTAGATTCATCAAATCAAATTAACCCCTTAATAAACAATGTCAATCAAACCCTAATCAAATGCCAACATAAATGCAATCAAATTGTAAATCAACTCCCAAATTTATCAAGAATTGGGAATGGAAATAAAAAAAAAAAAGAAAAAAAAAGAAGAGAAAACATGGTGAACTTGACAAACCTAGTTCTAAAGAAGAATGGAAATCAACAAAACCTTACTCTAAACCCAGTAGCTGGGTTCAGCAAAACCCAATCAATCTGGGTTTCATCGAACCTAGTAGTTGCATTTGATGGAACCCAACAAAGCTGGGTTTTGTTGAACTAGTAGAGCTAGGTTTTGCTGAACCCAATAACTTGGTTTGATGAAACCTAATTGATCTGGGTTCCACCGAACCCAACAAATTAGGGTTTGGTGGTTCTGTCACGTCCCAAAACCAAAAGCGAAACATACGCCGTATAGTTGTGAGAGCATCCCACAAATGCATAAGGCTTAAACTTGCTAAATTCACAACTAACAATCCACGTAAACTTAGATCAATATCTCAAAATAAAATCTTGCTTACAAAAGAATGATCTATATCCCAAAATCTATATCCAAAATACAAATGGCTAGCCTTCTAGCTCGTCACTCCCCTTAGTTTCCCATGTCTCGGATCTCACTACCTGAAATGGTGGACGAGGAAAAACTAGGTGAGATAACTCAGTAGGTAAAAATATGGATAGCTCTCATTGAAATTTAAAACATGCCAAGTAAACATTTAAATTTTAAACAGGAAGAAAATCTCAGTTATAAATCATTAATGCAAAGTAAAACTCAATAATGATCCCCTCAATTAGTCATGGTCAGTGTTTAACAAACTCCCACTGACAGGTGTCAGGAATAACTAGTGTACCATCCCATTGGTAGGATTAACAAGAATAAACCAGTTTCTAGGAATATATGTTGACATGTGCTAGCGTTTACAACTCCCATTGGCGACCTTCAAGAATCATGACCATATTGGAGACAAAACCATGCAAGAGTTAATAGGAAAATTCATAATTTACAAACATACAGGAGTTAACAAGAAAGTCATAGCTTACAAACAAATTTTCAGATTTCCAGAACAACCAAATAAACTCCGTGTAGGCATGCTCAACTCAATAAACATATTAACACCTTCATTTTAAATCAATCATACTCATGTGCTAATAAAAATTTAGTTTAGGTCCTGCCACCATCTCAAAATTAGTTCAAAACATGCTTTCAAAACCTTTACTTTAAAATCCAAGGGCATTTACCATAATTTTACTTACTTTGCCTTGTAGGTACACAACAAGCAAGTATTCAAGATCTCAGGCGGTGAAGGGGATTTAGAACCTATACCACATCAAATGAATAAACAAGATTACAACATACTCCATTTAATATATTTGGTTCCTAATCCCAGTGTCAAGTTTCCTAATTGAAGGAACAACTACTTCCTACA